AAGTTTGATCTAATTTTGATATGGATAATTATGAAGAAAAATTTGTATATTTTATATCATGTTGTAAAAATGTATTTTGGTTTTCTGTATTATTTCAGAAACCAGTGTTTGCAGCAGAAATCCAAAACCAACGACCACAAACTCCTCTTCCTACACGAGCTGAACAACTGAAGAAGCTACAAGAGACAGAATTTGACATTCTTGTGATTGGTGGAGGTGCAACAGGCAGCGGTGTTGCTCTGGATGCAGTCAGTAGAGGTAAGACTTCCTAATGGACTTTTAAATTAACTTTATAAAAAGATTTGCTACATCTGTATGAACGTTTAGAAATTTCCAAAACAATATGAATTAAAGTTGTAATTGATGTGGAGATTATAAGCTGATTAGTTGCTTAAGCTCAATTTTGATTCCTTTTGTTCACTACATTAACACAGTGTTTTGAGACAACATGGGACCTATTGGTCCATCTCAGCTGTTCCATCCTCTAAACTAAATTAAAATACTTAACAAAAATATCTTAAAGCCAGCCCTTATCATTCATATACTTATCAAAATTTTTATTAAACTCACTTAAATTTACTGCCTCTACAACATCTGAAGGGAACCCATTCCAAAGGCCAACCACCCTGTTAGAAAAATTAAACTGTCTTAGCTGAAGATGACTCCTACCTTGCCAAAATTTATACTTGTGTCCTCTAGTCCTACTATTCTCACTGTTAAATATGAAAAAAGATGATGAATCAACACTATCAATTCCATTTACAATCTTAAACACCTCAATCAGATCTCCCCTAACTCTTCTTTTTTTCAAGAGAAAACAATTTGAGAGATTTCAGCCTTTCCTTTTATGACAACCCCTCCATCCCAGGCACCATTCTATTAACCCTCCTCTGAACCATTTCCAACAATTCAGTGTCCTTCCTAAGGTAAGGACCCAAGACTGAACAAAATACTGCAAATGTGGCATAACCAGTGACCTGTACAATGAAATTATAACCTCTTTTACACCTGTATTCAATATTTCTGTAGATACAACCTAAAATCCTATTTGCCCTACCACTAGCAACAGCACATTGCTTGGATAGTTTTAGAGACTGAATTGACTATTACACCAAGATCCCTTTCTTTCATGACACTGTTAAGGTTATTCCCATCCTCTTGATACTTATAATTCAAATTATGATAACCCACATGCAGTATGTTGCATTTATTATAAATAACCCATTTACCATTTATTTGCCCAACTCACTAAATGATCTAAATCCTTTTGTAAATCAGCAGCATCCTCTTCACACCTAGCAACACCCAAGACCTTAATATCATCTGCAAATTTAAGTAACTTATTGACCATTCATTCATCTACGTCATTTATGTAAATCAAAAAGAGCAAAGGTCCTAAGACTGATCCCTGAGGTACCCTACTTGTAACATTAATCCAGTTTGAATGAACTCCATTTGTAACAACCTTCTGCTTTCTTCCATCCAGTCACTCTTCTATCCAATTTGCTAAATTATACCCCACATCTACAGAGATAAATATTCTTACAAGCCTTTTATGTGGCTCCTTGTCAAATGCTTTCTGAAAATCAAGATACACCAAATCTACACCCTTACCCTTTTAAAAGATTTGTAAGGCAAGATTTTCTCTCAGTGAAACCATGTTGACTATCCAATAAAATTCTAAACTTTGTTAAATGACTTTGCAAAGCATCTTTTAAGAGACTTTCCAAAATGTTCCCACAACTGATTATTAAGGGTCATGTTTTTTGTTCTAAGAAAATTAAAATTAATGCATATCCATCTGTGTTATAAAGTACT